ACCAAGTCCTGTAGATAAACTCATCGAGATAACTGTATATCATTGGATTTCTTGATCCATTCACATATCTGATACGTTTTTTAGGTGACTCCAGAAACTTTTGATGGAATTAGTGTGAGTTCCATCAAAAGGATTGAGAAAACCATTTGTATGGTTGACCACTTAATGAATACGGCCCAGATACGATAACTGACTGTAACTACTCGATTAATCTGTATGAATATTCGTCCAAGGCAGCACTAAGCGCTGGATGATAGGCAATAATACACCTGCACTGCGATTAAGGATCGCCTCAATATATCCTTTCTGGAGGCTGGTGTCATATATCGCCAATACCTATTGCTGATTCGCACTCAATCTCCATCGATTATATTTTCTTTTTATCAAAAGCACCTAAGGAATCTGTAAATTAGAAACGAACGACATACGTTCTCGAACTGATTTTCTGGTTCGGCACTCATTTCACCAACAAATAAATCCATCGATGCACCTATTGTATCTTTACATATGAATGACACCACATTGACGATTTTTCGACCTTCCTATCAGTCCGTTCTCCTAACAGTAATCAAAACAAACCTGGAGCGAATTTACATCGGAAAAGGTGTACAGCACCCATAAGTACGTCTGGATAAAGCAGAGTCATCTGATTGGTTGCTCAAGGTCATTTGTCCGTCATTTAGGTTTGGGCTGCTATTCTTCAGAGTCGCCGTCCTCCTACTAGGTAAAGAGCTGGAAAATTAGTCTTCTGAACACCTTGACAGACAGCAATCTTCGAATGTTTGGCATGCGATTCGATCTTGTCATGTGGTTTGCTCCTGTCAAATGTAAGATGATGCTACAGGACTGGACTACATCGACTCCTAGCTTAAAGATAGAGTGTAAAGTGGTAGAGTGTGTTGACGACTTCACTTATTTAGGGAGTTGCACCAGCAGTCATCGTCAGTGAGTTGATGGCTGACGAAATCTCAGCATGGATATAAAAGGCTGGCGTGGCATTTTCCAACTTATGCTATCTCTGTCGTAGACGTGATATATGGAGTGTTTACTGTTCATCATCAGTTCTGTCTCTCCTCCTCTACGGCTATGAGACACCTTGACTGAAATCAGTATGCATGAAAAGACTAGTTAGCTGCCTTTGATCATAGGTTTCTGCATTCTATCTCCCGTGTTAGGTGGCCTGATAGGGCGAGTAATATTGACATTAGGCGTTCAATATTAGGAAAGGAAGAAAAGTCAATTGACGAGGTTGTGAAGTTACACGGATTGAGATGTTTAGGGCATTTGTTACACATTCGTAGCCATCGCCTTTGTTGGCGAGGAATGTTAACTGACATAGGATTAAGTAGGGAGAGAGAGAGCTACTGATGGTCAAACGGAAACATGGCTTCATCAGTGAATGATATCCACAACAGTTAATTTAAACCATGTGTAGGTAGGTGTAGTCTTCCTGGTTGGGGTGTTGTGGATGGGGCTAGTCAATGACTGAAGACAATTGGTGGTGGTATGACTCGTAATCGTTGTTTTCAGTCATGTCACAGATGCATTCTGTCTTTGTGATTTATTATTTCTAATAAAGTTTGTATGGTTGTTGCATATTTGGATTCTTTTTGCCTCATATTTTTGTTCAATATCTCTGTTTTGAATGTGTCTTTACGCTGTGCTCTTGCTTTGTGTGTTGTGTGGAGTGGGTCAAGTCGAAACTGCAGCACATCTGTTGAAAGCTTTGTGTTGAAACCAGTCAGTCAGTCCGTCCGAATAAGCCAAATCTGCCCGTCGAAAAAGAAATTCTTACATCTCCTTTTTATGCTGTTTATTATCGTCAGCATCGCATACAGTATTCCTACAAATAACGTTGTTCCCTTTCATCAACTGCTAATATGTCCGAAACAAGTTCATATTTAGTAGTTTGACAGAAAATTTGGGCAATAGGTATATGATATTCATTGTAATAAAAGACTTTGTATCTCTCAATGAGTGAAAAATAAAACAGTATTGTTTTTACTGATGTTTCGCTACCTAATCCTGCTAATAGCTTTATCGAAGTACTATTTATTAAACCAGAATTTACAAATTCCCAGCTTAAATACACCAACTTAATCATCATTACTCAAGCATGATTTAATTTTTACGTTGTCAAGTGAATGAATTGATAAGGTAAACAAATCATATGCAGATTGTTAGATTTGATAAGTGTATAAAATTACAAAACCAACATGTTTTTACATGATGAATTTGCTTATCACATTTCAGTTAATTTCTTCACTTCATGATTGTGTATGTGTGCGTTTGTGTGTGTGTGTGTGTATTGGGACCAGGTCGGCTTCTTTCCTAGTCCATCATTCCTCTTATGGTATGAGATGTTCTTTTTTGATTTCTGAAAGTTTTTTGGATGATTTCAATATTGTCAAGTCAGCTTTGTGTCCTGGTTCTATAGCGTGTAAACTTGTAATTGACGGTTTTTGAAGCTTTTCTAGTTCCACCAGATTTCTCGCCGGTCGTATAGATGGTCTACGGTGTCCAGAGTTCTTCTGATTTGGATTCCTCGCTCAGTTTATACGACGAATACGAATATTGCATCACATTCTGAGCACTTTATTTTATAGACACAATGAGATTGTGAATCCTTTGGAATTTGATCGCTTACTGTTATGTTCTGCTGCTGTGTGGTTAATAGTAGTTTTCCCCGTCACCAAATTGTTATGTACTCGTCGCTAAATTATTGTTACGTACTGGTCGAGAAACTAATAGTCCTGACGCAAGAAGGCGGAAATCAGAAGACCACTAGGTTTGCGATGATACTTCTATTTTCCAAACACAAGGAGAAGCAATAAGTGGTATCACACCAAGTAAAGTAAGTGTGTCACACAAATTGTGAATGCGAAGTATATATATGAATGTTCCAGACAAAGTGTGTGAACAAATCATTAGACAGTCTTAACATGAATGGCTAATTATAATGAAGTATCGATCCATATATACATAGCGAAGTATAGCAGACATGCAACAACCACCATATATGGATATATGTCACCAAGCAACGGACTGTCAACAAACACTCATATTATATATAATATAATATAAGGAGAATATACATTATTAAAGGAGACAAGTTCATACAAGTGAAATGGTCACAGACTAAGAGAGCAAACAGAAAGAGAGACCAACATACACACACATAAATATATATATGTGGATACATATCACCTCCCCTTTTGAGAAGATGGATGATTAGTAGGATGTTTACCTGGGGGTTTATCTGGAACCTTTGGGCTTGTTGTTGACGTCTGTCGTTTCGTCTGCGTGTTGGGTTTGCGGCTTCGGCTTCGTCCGGAATTGTCTGACATTTTATGCTTCTTGACTGCATTGCATAGCGAATTTAGTGGGACATCAGCCAGATGCAAACGATCGAACCAATCAAGTCCCAAAAGATTTAAATCACTCTTGGTGACGTAGCAAATTCCTGTGAATTTGGTATTGCGGAAGGAAACGGAACATTTGAGTTCACCAATAAGTTTGAGCCGCCCACCACAGGCGCTGACAAGAGACTGGGAAGTATTGGTGATAGGTGGTCTGCCAATATAATTCCAAAGTTTCTCTGATATAACAGTAATATCAGAGGCGGTATCTAGCTGCAGACGTGTATCATGACCGTTCATCTGAAGGTCAAGATATTTCCGCATACTGGTGTTGTGACTTGACAGGTTGCGAGTAGACTCAATGATCTCCTTGGAGATTTAGGACCAACCGTTTGTTGAGCTTTTGCTGGATTATGATATCTGACTTGGCGTGGCTGACAAAAACCATTTTTATGACCGATGATTTTGCACTTGCTGCAACGATGATTTTTGTATGGGCAAGACTTTACAAAGTGCCACGCGCCACAATGCCAGCATGGTGATGGAGGGGTCTTCTTTGTAGTATTTTGTGAAGTTGGACGAGTATGTATAGATTTCCGCGGAACATTAGAAGAAGTAGGTGGGTCAGGAGTAGATGATGAGAGAGATTTTTGCTCTTTCGTAATGCACGAATATCAGAGCTTCTCGAAGGTGTTGATTCGACCAGGTGTGTGTCTTTCTGCAGATTAATCAGCCGTTGATATTCATCAGCTATGTCATGTAATGTTAACTTGGGATTTTGTTCTAGCTGATTGAGCAGTCGAGTTCGGATATCTGTGAAACGAGGAGATTGAAGACTGCATATGAGAATCAAGGCTTTGAATTGATCATCTGTTAAGGACCTGAGTCGAAATCTCTCACATTCTCGGTTGACTGTGCCAACGTGAGTAAGAAAATCATCATTTTCATTCATTGTCAGCAGCAGCAACAATAACAATTTATTATGGATTATTCTAAATTGGAATTATTGTTTGAACAACAAATGAAATTAATGGAAATGTTCGTCAACCAACAGACTGGTCCAGCTTCACCTTCAAGCAATCCCAATCATACCATGCTATGTAAATGGATACATATCACTTACATGGACAGGGTTGTTTTCCAATATGTTTAATGCTTTGAAGAAAACTCTAATGTGGCAGTTCTTGAATGGTCTTGTAGTATCGTGTGATGTGTGTATCACCTGTGTGGAGTAAGAACTTTTGGTTATCCGTGTTTTCAGAGGAGGTTTACGGCCACGTATTATGTTGGTGTTGATTTTTTTAGCAAAATTCTTTGGATAGTTATTTGTTCCTTCTAGTTTGACCACAGATCGATATGAGTTAGTGAAGCATACTCCTTTACCTCGCTAAGCCAATAATAAAACCAGTAAAGCGGGAAGTTTGCGGTATGGGACTAGCAATCCCATCTCGTAGAAATAAACACCACTGTTACGGAAACTTCAAGCCTCTACCTTGAAGCCCTATGTTCCACTGGGAACGTAAATCAATAAAGGAGAATCTGTTTGTATGTTATTGTTTATTTCCCAGTTAACAGCTGATAGAGGTGCTGCATCTTTTTTCTATTTTTGATACACATTTCTACGTTTTTCTCTTGTTACAGTCGGTCATTGCTTTTGTCTTCTATGTCAAGTGACTACGCTGAATGTAGCGTTTAATTCACAAAATAAGTCATTGGTTACTGTGTTCATTTCAAATAATGTGAGTTTCAATTTCACCTGTTTTGTCTATATCTATGTATCTCATAGTTAAGAAGTGATATATATATATGATAAACAGTTTTACGAAGTTTCACTTTTTCCACCTGAGTTTCCCTTACTGCTTAATGTAGCTTTCATGTAAAGTATCTTGACATCATTGTGGCATTTCAAGTTATCAGTTCCCTATTGATTTGAAGTTGGCTGTTTCGACTTATTGGTGGTGGGGAGTGTGTGGGTAGAGAATTCCACTCTCATATTCCAAGTAGTGAGTGTTGATTTGCAGTTTCTCCGGAAATAGCACATTTATTGAGATCCAGAGGTGCATTTGTTTTCTCATTTATTTCAAATGCAAACTTTGTACATTATTGTATTTTCATTTATTTTCCCTGTGGATTCAAGCTAGAGCTTTTAAATTTCGGTAGCAGTGGTGTTTATTTCTACGGGATGGATTTGCTGGTAGTCTCATGCCCAAACATCTCTCTTTACCAGTCTTATTACTGGCTTAGCAAAGTAGAGGAGTGCATTAGTCGGGGATCAAACCCCAACCACCTGAGGCGTGATCGGCGAGCATTATACTGCTGTGCCACTGATACACAGTGTGCTTTGTGGTCATCATAATTTATCCAGGAGCTGAGATACCCACTACTCGATGACCCATATTAAAGCAAACGGTCGCCTTAAGGAGGAGAATCTTTGACTTAAAGTCTGATGCACATGGGAATGGAGTAGCGTCAAGAGCTACGTTCCCGTAGATCCCGGTAACGAAAACGGCTTATACGTCATTTAAACCTTTCAAATTCTGGATCCCACATTGTACACACTATAGCTGTCTTTGGTGGACCTGGGTGTCAACCATCCAGACTGTAAGCAAGCTCCAGTCGTTTGGAATCGCTCTTTCACTTTTGTGAAGAATAACCCTGGCACTTGAAGGCCGTTTATAGAACTTATCTGGCAGAGGTAGAGTATGAATGCGTGGGGCTACGTGGAGAGCATTTCTAGAGAAAGACCAAGTCGTTTATAGGGACATTTAGCCAATGACTCCTTGGTAAATTAGGTGAGCTATCCTCAGTTAGATTCGTTTTCAGAAACCATCAAATAATCACCAATGATATTCAGGCACATAGTGTTGATAATATTAGGGTATTTTAACTTTACACTTGTATTATTCGTGTACCATTCATACTAGTTTCCTCTATGCGCCTATTGATTCTTATTTTGTTAACCATGTTCTCTTCACTTTTATTATTTTAACAACAACAAAAAGTTTGTAGAGTTGAAGGGTAATGTGTTTCGTAAAATGGGGAAGACTAATCTATTTCAAATTGCCTGTGCTGATGTTCGTGAACGATTTCACTATTGTATTTGGCTATTTATTATTGTCGGTCGTAATATGAATGAAAATGGATGGAATTTAGGTGAGTGAGTGAGTGAGTGAAAGTGACACTTATTACTGTTTGAACATTATTACTATTATTATTATTGTTATTATTTATCAGTACTACCTTTTTTCCTGCATTTATTCACAAGAAAGGATGTATAAGGTATAACAAGCATAAAAAATTGCACAGTAAATACAATGTTAAATAAAATTAAGGAAATTTCCACAACAAATTGAGGATCATTAGAACCTTGATGGCCAAGGGGGGCAAGGATAACGTCTGAACAGACATCTTTTGGATACTATAAGTTAGGTTTCTTAATGTGGATCCCCCAACAGCCAGCCTCATCAATATGTGTAGTAGAGGAACTCTTGAATTAAAGTTAGGATTATTTGGTATGCACGGTAGATGACATTGAAAGTTGCCTTGTTAACATCAATGTTGTGTTGTGCATCCACGTGATGAGATAGAATGGAACTATGTGAATGGACTTTGTTTGTCCTATGCTTTTAATTAACCACGCAGGATGATGTTAAGGGAATCCGATGATGAACACGCTTAACTGTACTACACCCTATGTAATTACTTTCCACAGTAGCGGTCAATTTGATGGATACACATAGAAGACACAAAATTACGTAGTTTATATTTACCTTTCGAACACAAAATAGGAGTGTTTTTGAAAAGACAGGGTACTTCGGTGTCATTGAATTCTCTTTCTTTTTACTGTATTCCCTAAGCGTATTATTATATTGTTTTTGGGCGTTACCACTGAGGAACTCAAGGCTATTTTCGAAAGTGTTGATACTTCGACTTGATTTGACTTCAAATTCATACTGTTGTCGATGAATTTCTTTAGGTAATTGTTTATTAATGTTGACTATCTCTACTAAGACATTCATCAGAGTACATTCCTGTTGTTTTGTTGACTAAACATTTTATCAGATCATTATTAAGGATGGAATACTAGAATTTATTGTGGTTGTTTTTGGATGGCAAAATTTATTGCAGGAGGCACATCGTTAATAGGGATGTCAAGGATATTCTTTTGCTTCATCTTGTTGATTATTTTTATATTAATTCGAAATTTTCGCTCTCTGTTGATATGTTGGCTCCCTGCATGTCTGACGGTTGACCTATAATGTCATTTAGTTGATGACAGGGTTAACATTGGAGTCCTTTTGGGGACTTGTCAACTATGGTGGATGTACTTGCATTCCCAGTGTAGTGATGGTGTACCCAATGCGATTGAGTTCATGTATAAATTGTACAAAAATACATAAAGGAATGACAACGTTACTGATAACTCAGCCCTGCTAGATATTCATCTGCACTTCGAGTGGAATATTAACCTACAAGCTTTAAACTATGAAGTTTTAGTAGTCCGTGTATTTTTCTTCAGGGATGGTGTTTCTAGTCTCTCTCTTTCCACACCTTCTCTCTTTTCCGAAATTACTGCTGACTAGGAAACTAGGCGGGTTATAAAAGTGCATAAACCGGGAATCAAACACGAATTGTTTTGCCTGTCTGTCTGGTGAGCATCCCACCTCTGTGTATAAGCGTTAGCCTCTAGTCTCAGTGGGGGAACACCATCATCACCAACCAGCTAGAGTCCCAAATAGGAAATGAAATGCACATCATCAGATTCCTCTCTGTATTAGTCTCCATCCATTAGACAAAGGCAAAAAGTGGCTGTCTGTCTTTCTGTTTTCAACGTAAATATTTGCACCGATGTCCACTAGTTCAAGTCACCACACTCCCTCTTTGTAGCACACAAAGCAAGAGAAGAAAGTAGGAGAAATGCATAATAGAGACAGTAAACAGAGGTGTGAGACAAAGGCGTAGTATAATAACGAAGATCCATATAGTTTTATTGGGCATTATAAGTCGAAAGGAGTGGATGCATCTGTGCTGTCATTGAGAACGATCACTTTGAGCCATATCACCAGTTGTCTCCAGCCTGCATTGGTTTTTACCGTCCCGAGGAGCCCAACCAGGAAGGCAATCTACACCTTCCTACATGGCCGGTTTAAACTAACTGTTGTGGATTTCATTGACTGTTGGGGTCATGTTTTCGTTTGACGGTTGCTAGCTCTTTTCCAGCCTGACCCATCCTATCAGCTAACATTGTCTGTTGTCGAGGAAGGCGATGACTAGGCTAGTCATACGTAACACATGTCCTGACCATCTCAGTCGATGTAATTTCACGGCCTCGTCGATTGATTGATTTCCCCTCCCTCCTTAGCTAGAACTCGACTGATGCCTCACCTCACTATTGCTCACATTATTATACCACTTCACACGGGAGATAGAGCTCAGGCAACTCTAATCGAAGACAGCTTTTCTTTTCATGTCTTCCACTCTCAATGGCCAGGTCTCACAGCTGGCCATAAAGGAGGACGAAGCGGACGGATGAGCAGTACACCCGTCCTTTGGTCGATAGCCAGACGGATATCACATCTACTAGGCCAGAGATGGCGCAATCTGGCATATGCGAAACTAGCCCTCTGTAACCGTACTGAGATTTCGCCAAACATTCGTGGTGTTCAAAAGACTGCTGGATTTCGTCAGCATCCTCGCCTAGAGGGACTATATCATCTGCATATTCTAAGTCAAGTAAGTTATACCCTGGTAGCAAGTCAATCCCTGAGTTTCTCTCTGAAGTGAGTTAGTGTTAAGTCCATTAGTGCATCTATGATGAAACTGATATGTATCCACATATATATGTTTATGTGTGTGTGTGTGTATGTTGGTCTCTCTTTCTATTTGCTAGCTTAGTCTGTGACCATCTCACTTGTATAAACTTGTCTCCTTTAATAATGTGTATTCTCCTTATATTATATATATATATATATATATATATATATATATATATATATATATATATATATATATATATATATATATATATATATTGGTAAACAAAAACCCAGTAAATATATGGTAGGTGTAATCTACACTTGAGTGTTGCTTTTTTAGAGTAAATTATCTTTCACATATATATTTTTTCTAAAGCTCTAGAGTAAATAATATACGTGTATGGATAAACATCATATGGATTCTCAAGTAATTACTCTTCACAATAGAGTGTAAGATAGATAGACAGACAGACAGGCAGGCAGAGCAAGAGAGCGCGCTGGAGAGAGAGAGAGGATTTCAATATACACCGATTTCATCATCAATCTTTGTTGAGCTTAGATTTCATTTAAAAAAATTCACCAAAATTTGTGTGTGTGTGTGGGGGGGGCGCGCGCGCATGCTTTACTTACTTTACTACACAACCACACCTTGCTCTTTTTTCTCAGTTTATTGAACCAACTAGACCAGATTGATTAAGTTTCTTCTTCTTATCTCTCAGGTGCAGAACTCAAAAATAAACTAAGATACTAACTACACTTATATGCGTTTTGATTGTAAGAGACATGCAAACACCTTCTTCTTCTTCTTTGTGTTCTGCTTTGTTGTTGCTGGTTGTTGTTGTTGTTGTTGTTCTGGTTCTCGTTACTGTAACTATAAAGTGAAATGATGGAGTTTTCTAATGCATTGAAAACTCCCTTGACCCGTACATACATGCTTGCGCCTAGAATGCTCTCTCTCTCTCTGTGTGTGTCTCTGTATGCTTGTGTGTATGCGTGTGTGTGTGTGTGTGCATGTGTACTCAATGGAATGTAATGCAGGTCTTTAATTAAATAAGAAGGCATATAATAATCTTTATTTGCGTAGCAAATTTTTCTTCTCTTCTCTTTCTTTCTCTATCGACCTAACCTTCTTTTTTGTATATTTTTGAGTAATTAAGAAAAAACTACTCTTGCTTGCGTTGAAGTGTATGGCATGGAATTCTCAGCATTTGTCACAATAGCGTATCTGATTTATTCAAAATGCAAACAAAAGTTAATCAGAAGAATTTGTTCATTTTTACAGTAGGTGGAATAAAGTCAAAAATGTGCAAAGTAGTAGAAAATGAGAATAAATAACTCTATAATCATAAGTAGCAGTGGTTTGCAGTTCATAGTTTTCTCTGAGCTGGTTGGTTTAGTGTTGCGGAGCTTTCGTCGTCCTCCCCCCCACCCTCTGGACAATATCCCCCTTCAGCGCAATTTTTAGCTTAGAGTGAATTGATTTAAATTTTCCATGAGTGATAGAATTGCGTCTCCTGGTGACCAACCATCTTTTTATATATATTGATCATTTTCTATTGATTCAGATTTGAAACTTTCTCGTCACATGACTTATCTTTTTATTATATTATTATTATTATTGCTACCTTGGGTTCCTAGTGGAACATAGGGCTTCAACTGCACGTCTCCACTTGCCACTTCTGTCTTCCTTCTGTTGTACTTTTCACGTGAATCCATGTTAGTCCATACTCTTTCAACTCCTCTTCACACGATCTCCTCCATGTTACCCTCGTACTAACGTCCCACTCGCCGCTTCCCTTTCGGGTTCCACTCGAGGGCTTGACGCGCGATGTCACCCAGCGGTCTCCTCAGCGAGTGTCCAATCCATCTCCACTTTCTCCCGCATATTTGTTGGCTGGCGATTGGTTCTTGTTTTGTTTGTTAGTGCCCATAGTTTCTTGTTGGTGATTCTTTCCGGCCCGGCCATCTGATCTTCAGTATAGAGCCAGCGAAGACAGTTGTTAATAAAGGTCTCCAACCTTTTGGAAATATTCTTTGTGACCCGCCAAGTTTCTGATCCGTATAGAAGAACTGACTTTACTTTTGTATTGAAAATCCGAATTTTGTTGTTGATGGTGGCTGAGTGACGAAGATTTCCAGATTGGTTTCAGGTTGATGAATGTGTTTCTCGCCTTCCCGATTCTCGATTTGACATCCTCATCCGTTCCGACTTCCTGTAGTTGAGATAATGCTCAATGCTAGATAAGTGAGTGAATGAAGTAACCCCTCCCGTGGATGGTGATTGGCGCTGGATGTTGCTGTTGATATTGTTGTTGGTTGGTAATTTTCATAACCTGCGTCTTGTCTATGTTCACTGTCTTTGCTGCTTTTTCGACCAGTTTGTCGGTTTTCGCCTGT